GTACCTTTGTCACAGTCCCTGCCACTGCTTTCGTTTTCATGACAAAATATGTCAAAAAAAGATCTGATTCGTCAACTTTCAGGGCAGGATCTGACTTTTCCGACTTTCATAGTATGGACCGGTTGTAACATCTGGTCCCCACCAGAGCTCCACCAAGTGACCAAGGCCGGGCACTGAGATGTTGAGTTCCGTCTGAACATCTTGCCTGGTTCAGACGGATCACGGTGCTATGAGTCGAACGTTGTCCGAAAAACCCAATGAATTGCAATGAGTTGCGATCATCGCAATCACGACATGAAGATAAAAAGCCCAAAGGCTTGAAATTTCAAGAAGTGTCCACCAGCCAACATCTTGCTTCATGCTTTCCAAATAGTGGTTCTACTTTGGCCATTGTGGCAGAAATTTGGCATCAATTCTGCCAAGATGCAATGAGACATCGGTTTGATGACCACTCTCAGAGCTCGATGCCGGTGCAAAAATCCACCGGAGGAACTTGCCGTAATGAACGCTTTCATCTCCAGACATGTCCTCAATCAAACATGACAGCCCTGCAATGGTCTCCAAGGATGACCAGTCATATCAGCAAAAAAGAGGCAGTGGTACCAATGGAGATCAATGGAGCTTGGAATTCAGAACCAGTGAGGACATGAATCTTGGCAACTGGCGGCTTCCATGAGCCATCATCCCCACGTCAAAAAGGGTTGAGAGCCATCTTTTTCAAGCCAAGCATCTGCTGCTTCGAGCATCAATGAAAGCCTTGAGAAGCAAAATGCCAAAGAGTTGTTCACAACATCGCAACTCGACAGGTTTAAGCAACTTGGCAGTTTGACAGAATTTGACAGAGAGGCAACGTTCCATCAGAACAAAACAGAATGAAATAGAATGGGGTGCTGTCCAAAAATTGGTTGGATACCCCAACTTATTGCGTTGTTGTCAAAATCAAACGACCTTTTTAATCGTTCCAATCCCTTGAAATTACGGGAATCCAATTTTCAAACCAAATGTGCTCCAGGCAACTCTCGCTCGCCCATGTGCAGGCCAAGGCCAGAGAAGGTTGACAGCAGCTCGTCCTTCCGGATCATTCCCCGTCCTCAGAACGACTCCCACCAGTGGCAAATTGCATGGGGGTTCATCGCCACACTCTACAGAAAAGGCCTGCCATGCTGTGGTGACTGGGAACCAGTGCAGTTGAGAATCCGGTGGGATCCCACTGCCGGAAGATTGCTCTGATGTCCGCAGGGTCTGCCTGGGATTGGCATTGTTCAAAGATGAGTTTAAGAGATTCCTCTACTTCAAACGACACGTCTGGAAGTTGCACATCAAGCAGAGCATATCGTATGTATCACTTCTAGATTTGAGATGCTCTAACAATGTGTTTACTTCTTCTCCAACTTTGAGCGTAGAAAATATGTTTTCTTTTAGAGTTGATTCTCAACACACTTCTGCTTAGTATCTGTCTAGTCTACTTAGTCTACTTGAACTTGTTTGAAGTGCTTGGCAAATGGTTCAAGTCAAACACCTTAACAGCTTCATTCTGGAGAGTTTGGATCCATCTCAATTCGCTATTTTGGAACCAAACAAAATCCACCATTTCCCGGTTTTTGGTTGAACAGTGAACAGCGCCTCGGCTGGGGAACTTGATGTTTGAGCCGCTACCTAGCACAGCTTGCAGCGACCTCTGATCTGAACAAAGATGGCATACTGGTGACCTACGCTGCTCAATGTACAAAGTAATATCAGGAAAACCCACTTAAAAGTCAGATGAAAAGATCAGGTCTCATGGCGGGACAGCATGTCCACGCATGCACCGGGTCTAAGATTTGCTACAGCGTCGGTATGTCAACTGTAGTCAGCATCAACTCCAATGATATCCAGAGACTTGGATCAACCAGGTAAACACATCGAAGAACAGGAAACTGGAAATCCTTGGAAGCGATTCGCCAATGAACTCAATGAAACAATCCCTGTGTTGCACCCGGGACTCCCGACCGAAGCATCGTGGCCATCGTTTTTCTCGGCCATGTGGCGGATTTTGCGGACGCCAGGATGGTGAAGCTTGGTGAAACTGCGGGAAAGAAACCTTCAAGGTATAGATATGCTTCAATGGAATCGATGTTTAACACTTGGTATTTATCTTTATTTTCAATGGAGGAATATGTCAATAGATTATAAGCTATAAAGGGAATAATCCACCTGTTTCAGGGAGTAGATCGCTTCATAAGACGCTGGATGTCTGTCAAATCCTTCATTTTTAGGCGCTGAAGCAGTGAGTCTAAGACAGACGACTGTGAGTTCTCTTTCGGAACCTCACCTCGAACCAAGCTTGGGACAAAAGACTTAGGACTACTGAAGGGTTTCTGGCACTTTCTGACAAGAAGCCCATGTTGAACCAGAAGCGAAGCCAAAGATGAAGAATAACACCCCATGATCATTGCGTAACATGCCAAGAGATCCTTTTCCTTCATCAAAACTACACCAAGAAGACTATGTCTTGGTCTATCACGACCCATGCACATACCTCCACTAATTACAGATAGTGGCAACTTAAAATAGAGATAGCAACATCCCAACGTCATGGCCCACCACCTAACCAACAGCACGGCATCCCCTTACCATGTCTTTTTCTCTTTTTCCTCTGACCGAAATCGCCCATGGAAGATCCTGACCACCAGGGCCTGTGACCCGGTAAGCCACTTGAACACTGCGAGCGTCGATCGAAATGTGGTTTTTGGTCGGGGAAGCCAGTGATTGCTGAAAGGATCCATGGATTTTTCATGGTTCATTGGGTTGGAAACCCATCCTGCGGGCATTGTGGGTTGAAATCGCGGCGAATTGTCTTTGTTTTTGGTGGCCGCTCAGCCTGCACTCTCTTCCACCAAGTGGTTGACAATGGACTTAGCAGGGTGGCAGGTGGGTTGTCTTTCAAGGTTTCAACGATGGCCACGAAACAATTCAAAGAAACAACATGTTGCGTGGAAAGGACCTAATATATTTATTTGGCCAGCTGATTCAGATTCCCAAGATACGGATGCCTCGCACTAATTACATCCAATTACCAATAACTACAATGAAAGTCCATCTTACAGGATGGTGCTCCCCAGTTGTGTTTGGTGGTGTATAACCCCATCTCATTATCATTATAAGAATATTATAAGTATCATACACTATTGTTATAACATATGGGACCACTTGACCTGAAACTCTCCTGAAAACTGTGCTTTATCATGGACTCTGGGATGATCTGATGATCGCCTGGATCAAGAGTGGCCCATTTTGATTGACCTCGAAAGTGGCTATAGGTCAAGACTAGGCCTCAATAGAAAGTATTAAGTGACCTCCAAAAAGAGAGAAAAGGAGAGAAAAGTCAAATCCTACTTTTCTATCTTTATGTGGGTTACTATAAGTGGTTGAAACCAGCCATAAGCTATCAACAAAGCTTTATGAGCCCGGCAGTAAACCCACCAACAACAAAAATTGGGTTGCCAAAAAAAAAACTTCCCCCGAATATTAAACACCCGAAAGAAACCATGGTTTAGAATACAGGGGATTTACATGTGTGTGTATATATATATATATATACATAATCATACATATAAATATATATATATATATCTACTTCGGACCATCCAGGGGTGAAGGATCAAAAATAAATAAAAACGCATCAAAAAAAAATATCCCCATAAGTATCAAAATAAAAATTGATTTGCATCAAAAAAAAATATTCCCCTGGACTTCTATGGAACTGTCCAAGATTTCAACGTGGTACACGCATCAAAAAATAAATAAAATTTGCATCAAAAAAAAAATAAATTCCGAGGTATGCTAATACAAGTGAGACTCGTACGTGTCTGGAGACAGGGGAGGGAGGGTCAGATGTCGATTGCCGATCTGTCCGCAATATCCAGGTGGTCCGTATCAAACAAGAAAATTCCGAGGTATGCTAATACAAGTGACTCGTACGTGTCTGGAGACAGGGGAGGGAGGGTCAGATGTCGAAGAAAAGGTCGACTGTCAGCAGACAACAGATACCAATGCATATTAAATCACAACTACTCTTGGGATACCGACTCAGACGAAGAGTCCCATTAAGGTGCTCCATAACGCAATGCTCATACATGCGAGGCGATCACACGTCTGGAGAACTCTCTTGAGATCCCAACAGATACCAGCGCATATTAAATCACAACTACTCTTGGGATACCGACTCAGAGGGAGAGTCCCAGCAAGGTGCTCCATAACGCAATGCTCATACATGCGAGGCGATCACACGTCTGGAGAACTCTCTTGAGATCCCAACAGATACCGAATAAAGGGTCGAGTCCCAGCAAGCAAGCTGCTCCATAACGCGATGCTCATACATGCGACGCGACAGCATGTCTGGAGATGGAAGGTCGGATATCAGAGAAAGTGTGAAAGTCAGATGAAAAAGACACTTCGTGGCTAGGCATGTCACAACCTCTCTTGAAACTGGGGACGGCGGGATCTCGAATAAAAGACCGAGTCTCAAGTTAGTTAATGTATTATTTTTTTTCTGAGCTTCGATCAGCCATGCGTCTGATTTGATGAATCTCAAGTTTGACCGTAAGCTGCAACAATGCGCCTATGAGAACAAACTGTTTCATCGTTCCGGACATGAGAACTCTAGTCTTCGGGCAGATGCAGCATGGTCATGGATTTACAGCAGGCACGTTAGAAGCAAGCCCGCGATTTTTTTCCCCACTGGAGCCAACAGCAAGCACCAGACGAGGCAGATCTCATCGTTATTCTTTCTCTTCCTTTCTGTTAAGTTTTTCCTTTTTCCTTCGTTCTTCCTTCTCGATCTGCTTCTTCCTGCTGCCATTCTTCCTTTTTCCTATTATTCTTTGGTATCTTCTTCGAAGCAGCGTTCTTCTTTGTCTTTGCTTCTTTCCTTCCTTGCTTTTCGTTATCTCATATCCTCCTTCCTTCCTTGTTTCCTTCCTTCCTCCTTCCTTCCCCCCTTCCTTTCTTGGGTTTCGTGCCTCTCCAATTTTTCCATGGTTTTCTTCAATGTTTCCCTGGTTTTCTTCAATTGTTCCATGGTTTTCTTCCATTTTTCCATGTTTTTCTTCAATTTTTTCATGGTCTTCTTCAATGTTTCCCTGGTTTTCTTCAATTGTTCCATGGTTTTCTTCAATTTTTCCATTGTTTTCTTCAATGTTTCCCCGGTGTTCTTCAATTTTCCATGGTTTTCTGCAAGTTTTCTATGGTTTTCTTCAATCAATCAATCAATCAATCAATCAATCTATATACATATGTATATATATATATCTATCTATCTATCTATGTATGTATGTAGGTAGGTATGTATGTATGCATGTATGTATATGCAGGGTTTGGTTTAGGGTTTAGGGATACAACATGTAGGTATAATTACGTGATTATTTGTAGTATATTTTGGGATCAAAGCTGTGTATAAAAACAACCACAAATATGTCATATATATATATATACGTCTATCTATCTATAAGTAAATATGTATGTGTATTTCTAAATAAACATATACATATATACTGATAGAGACATAATTATATAAATATATACACATTGATATGTATATACATATTCATATGTATTTATATATATATACATTTATATAAGTACATAAATATATATATATATGTAAGTGTATATATAAATGCAAAGATACATTACATACATACATACATACATACATTAGATATATATATGTGTGTCTATGTATATATATGTCTAGATATATATATATATATAAACATAAATATTAATATAAAAGAATCAAACTAGTAATTGAAAAGTGTGCAAGTTTTGAATTTAAATAATTAAAAAAAAAGCGGGAGAGGGGGATTGGGGGGGAGGGCGCCGCGCCTCCCCCCCAAAGCAGATTGGAAACACCTATTTTCACATGCAAGGTGCTGGGTTGAATGCGATACTCAAGGTGTATGTAGGTAGGTATGTATGTATGTATGCATGTATGTATGTATATGCAGGGTTTGGTTTAGGGTTTAGGGATACAACATGTAGGTATAATTACGTGATTATTTGTAGTTTATTTTGGGATCAAAGCTGTGTATAAAAACAACCACAAATATGTCATATGTATATATATATATATACGTCTGTATATCTATAAGTAAATATGTATGTGTTATATAAATATATATATCTATATTTACATTTATATATATATTTATGTAAATATATATATATATATATTTATGTAAATATATATACTGAGAGATACACAATTATATAAATATTTACATGGATATGTATATACATATTAATTTATATATATATATATATATATACATTTATATAAGTACATATATATATAAGTGCATATATAAATGCAAATATATACATACATATATATACATATATATGTGTGTGTCTATATATATATATGTCTAGATATATGTATATATATATACACATAAATTTTAACATAAATATGAATATAGTCGAATCAAACTATATAGTGTATTGAAAAGTGTCTTTCTTTTTTATTTAAATAGTTTAAAAAAAGCGGGAGGGGGGGATTCAGGGGAAGGGCGCAGCGCCTCCCCCCCAAAGCAGATTGGAAACACCTATTTTCACATGCAAGGTGCTGGCTTGAATGTGATACTCAAGGTGTATAGACTACACGACATGCACCCTGGAAACATGTGGAATACAGTATATATACTTGTAGATACATACTCATTTATATATATACAGTTATATGTATATACATATGAATGTGTATATATATATAAGTACATATATATATATTAATATGTAAATATAAATATATAAATATAAATACATAAATATATATAAATATATGTGTATATATACATGCATAAATATAAGTATATGTATATATTTACATATTTCTATATGTAAGTATATATATATATTTGAATTTGAACATAAATAGAAATACTATGTATATAAAAATATAAACAGAAAATATAAATAATATAAATATATTTAAATATAAATATATAAGTGTGTATATAAATGCATATATATATGTATATATACATATACATAAATAACAGTACGCAACTGCTACGGTGATGCCTGCATGTAATTTGAATGATCTCTTATGCATGTAATATTACATCATTATTTCTTTCCTTTCTTGTTTCCTTCCTTTCTCGTCTCCGTCCTTTCTTCCTTCTTTTCTTTCTTCCTTCCTTTCTTCTTTGGTTCCTTTTTCTTTCTTCCTTTCTTGTTTCCTTCCTTTCTTGTTTCCTTCCTTTCTTCCTTCCTTTCTTCCTTTCTTCCTTCCTTCCTTTCCGTCTTCCTTCCTGTCTTCTTTCCTTCCTGTCTTTCTTCTTTTCTTCCTTTCTTTCCTTTCTTTCCTTGCTTCCTTCCTTCCTTTCTTCCTTTCTTTCTTCCTTTCTTCCTTTCTTCCTTCCTTTCTTCCTTTCTTCCTTCCTTCCTTTCTGTCTTCCTTCCTTCCTTTCCTTCCTGTCTTTCTTCTTTTCTTCCTTTCTTTCCTTGCTTCCTTCCTTCCTTCCTTTCTTCCTTTCTTCCTTTCTTCCTTCCTTTCGTCCTTTATTTTTTTTTTGATGCATTTTTATTTTTTTTTGATGCATTTTTATTTTTTTTTGATGCATTTTTATTTTTTTTTGATGCATTTTTAATTTTTTTTTGATGCCTACGCCCCATCCAGGGGGTGTTTAATATTAGGACGATGGGATAATTGTGCAATCTATTCTAGACGCGCTAATTATTTGACGTTCACCCAAAGCCATGTGAGTTGACACCTTAACAAAATTGTACACATTGCCAGATGTACAAACATAATTGTCACACAATTTGTTGTCCGATATGTTACATACATTTGCATTTGTTACTATGTGATCTGTCCAAAATATTCTTTCAAAAGTAAAGATGATAAATGATGGCTTGGAGCTATCATTAAAGCTATCTGGCACTATCTGTCCAAACTATAGTGCACAAAGTTCTTCTGGAGCCATCATAACATCTTCCAAGATTCTTCTAGTCTTCCATTTTTAAGTGAACAAGTCCAAGAGCGCCGCGCTTGCGCCGTGCGCTGGGCTCCCTGGGCTCCCTGACCGACACGTTGGGAAAGTCGAAGACCAAGGAGGGCGAGAGAGACATGGCGAACTCCTTGGAGACCTGGCTGAGGAAATTTCACCACAAAAATTGAAAATGAATCCAACAAAAGTTGGGATTATATATATATATATATGTATATATATATATGTATGTTTATTTATATTTATTTATATTTATATATAAACCGACAAAAATTGAAATCTTAGGGCTTAATCGGCCAAAATTGGAAGTGAACCAACAATCATTTGTTTTTTAAGCACAAAAACTGGAAATGTCACCAGCAAAGACTACATTTTAAGCAGCTAATTTTGGACGTGATCACAAAGCAATGGATCCAATCAACAAGATTTGGATTCCATCAACAAACTTTGGATTTAAAAAAGAACCAGATACAATTCGCACCACGATTGAACAAAATGAGGACCTGGAAGGAACCAAATATGTGGCCAATTGATGTCCAGTATATGGGATGAACCAGTTTCAGACCTTGATTAGATAGAGTCGTCTTGGGACACATTTTGCCCAGAGACATTGTATGAACACATGGGGGTTGACAAGAATCTTTTGGAGTCGGTTTGAACCAAATTTATGACGCGTGTCGGTCAAGAAAGTATCAGCATCGGGCCCTTCAAACGAAGAGTGGCTTTACCAAAAGTGGCAAATCTCACGCTGCTATGTCAAATTCTGTGGCGAATTCTCATGTGCACTGCTTCTGAATCCAGTCTGGATGCATCACAACCCCTTTTACGTTCACTACCCTCTCAAAATTCAACAACTCCATTTTCTCGGCACACAGAATCTCCTGTTAGTAGAAGATTCTCATAATTATTTTCATTCATTGTCATTCCTGAAATGGTCATTTCCAGCCATTTACCGGCATATCTGTTGCGGCAAATGGAAAAATTCCAGTTCCGCCATCGTCCACCTCCGTCACAAGCTGCACAGAAGACAAACCTGGGTTGAAAACAAAGAATCCAAAGGGATGTATCGGATGTATCGGATGTATACATCTGTAGATTGATCTTGTTTATTGATTGCAATTCTATATCTCTAATATTCTCTAATATTCTCTAATGGAGATATATTACACAATCTTACACATGTATTTATAGGATGTGATGTTATGGATATGTGGTAGAATTGAAACCAACATGGGGTTCGGGCTCTATTCTTCGCCCTCATCACTCATCCCAGATGTCCAATTTCTTGGGCTTCCAACTGTCCATACCTGCTTCCATTAGAGGACTGTCGGCCTTAGTGGATGCCGGGAGATCCTCCATAGTTGATCGATCCGCTCCTACCCGAAACAAAAGCTGGACGCATCGCATCCCAACCGATTCGGGTAGGTTTTGCAACATGTGGCGGGCACCACCACTAGCTCCGGATCAAACTTGCTGCAGCCATGGTTGGACATGCCACCCATGGTGAATCTCCCGAGCAACAAATGTCTTCTTTTTTTCCGTCAAACAGACAGAGCAAATTACCATGAAAGTCAACAGTCAGAGGGTTTTTTTCAGCCATTAACTTGTCCATTTTGGAGGAAAGCCATTCACAAGACGACCCGAAGGTACTTGAGATCCTGGAGCCCATCGAACGTTGCCGATATGGCGATGGATACCCAAGGAATCCCCGAAAATCAAAAATCACAGGGATATAAATTAGACAAAAACGAATGTCCATCTCCTCAAATATGGCATTTTATCGACTGTGAACCCCTCCCAACATTGGTATATAGGATTATATAGGTCTATAAACAGCTTTCTTCATAGCGTGGTCCCTAAATTTAGACGACCTTTTCCTTCCAAGAGATCAAAGATCATGAAGCCAAGTGAAACATTGGTAACTTCTCCATGCGATCGGACATGAACCAATCGTAACCTCTTCGTGACAACACGTAAATCTTGAACATTTAGATGTCTAGAACTCGGTACAGGAAAAAATGGTGGTCAAATTTAGGTGTGTCCAGAAATACAGTAAGGGATAGTAATGTCCCATCGATCAATGGGAAAATTGAAGTTTTTAACTGCTGAATGTTTGGTTTTCAAAACAGAAACTCAAACCCATCTCAAACCACCTCCCTAAAACACAGCATAAAAGGTTAAGAAACCACTGGTTGTTGCCACGTTTTTTCTCCGACAGATCGGCACCGCCTCTGCCGAATCTTCCCAACCACCAGGCACCCAACGCTGATTTCGTCGTCCGCGGCAATCACATCCTTGACCTAAGTTTGGGCGATGCAGGTGCCCAATTTTGTGGAGGTGCCGCCCCGTTGGAATTCAGCAATGCTAGAGTTGGGATTTTATAATCATTAAAAATATATATATATTTTTTGCAAAAGAAATGATGTGTAGCAAAATCAATCCGTCAGTGGATTGATTTTGTCAAATCTGAAACCGCACTGAATTCACCGCAAAAAGTGTTTGGGTTTCGCAAATGTTCCCTTCAACATCTTTTGGGCAGTTACAAACTCCAGTGTAAATCCCAACTTAAGTCCCCATTTTTGGTCAAACACCACCACCATGGTTGGTGGTTTGAACCCCTCTGAAAAATATGAGTCAGTTGGGATTATGACATTCCCAACTGAATGGAAAGTCATAATCCATTCATGTTCCAAACCACCAACCAGCCACCATTTTGGGGTGAAAATCCCCCATTTTTCACCCCCAGGCGCCCCACGATGGCCATGAGCCGCTTCGTGGCTTGCGCGGCATCCAGGCCCTTCTTCTCCGGCACGGCCGCTGAGGCGGCCGCGGCGCCTGGGCATGGGAAAACTGCGGTTCTGGTGAATTCACCGAGGAAAAATGGCGATTTTCCAAGCACTTGAAGTGGTTTGTTGATATAGAAAATGTGAAGAAAATGGTGAAGCACAAAGAGATGATTTAACAAAAGGATTGTTTTATTTTTACCCATAGGTAGTTTAACAAAAACACCAGTTTTGATAGAGTTCAATTTTTGGACCGATTGTAGTTGACCATTATAGATTTCGATGTTCACATTCAGCAGCCATCCAAATGGAGATTGCGGATGAGAGCCCCACATCATCTGCCGCTTTGAAAAGCGCCCCAAGGCCCATTGAAAACGGTCTCAAAAAGACATGGTATGTACCAAAAAACTGCGAGTCTCCAAAAACTCAGAAATATACCTACGTTTTTCCGAGAAAAGAAAAAGGTTTGATCTTGAAGAAAAAAGTATTCAAAAAAAAAACATAAGACATATTACCCAGCATCTCAACCAAAAAACGAATTCAGAATGTGGTTCTTCAAACAAAAAGTCAAGAAAAATGTAAACCAACAAGAATTACTTTATATATACATGTATTAATATTATATATATAATTATATAATCCAAATCTTACCTCACAAGGTGAAGCCTCAATGCTGGTGCCCGCCTGCAGCTTGCTGGGCCTCTGGCCTTGGTGAAATGGAGAGAAATTTCACCAATTCTGGAGGTTTCCGAAGTCATGGGGGTACCCCTAGTTATCATCTATTTATAGATGGGTTTTCCATTCTAAACCATCCATTCGACCATGAAAAAACTTAGGGAGTTCATCCAAAGTCTCTGAGTTGTCCGTGTCAAAAAAGTTGTCAAAATAAACTTCCAAAGCTATGCCTTGGTCATGCGTTCCCACCAGGCACCCGTACGCCGCAGCTTCGGTGGCAATGGCTGCTTGAACGGGAGGAGCCACCACCTCCTTACCTTGGTCAAGCTGCAACGAGGGAATTGACCAACAATAACAATGATGGGTATGGTGTGTGTTTACTAGATGGATAACAATATGCGGTAACTAATATTTGACCAACAATAACAATGATAGGCGGAAATTCACTGGTGTGTGTGTGTGTTGTTTTTATTTCTAGACTGGTGATTCACCTTCCAAACATATATGGTGTTCTTCAAAACGCTGGAGAGGGGAGTATTCACCAACAAAACTAGAATATTGACCGTTCACCATCTAAAAATTTAAGGTACCAACAACGGCGATGGTTCAGTAGGTGCATCGGTCAAATGTAAACTACAAATCGGACAATGAATTCAAGAAATGCCCGTGTTTTTCCACAACGGTGATATTCACGAATACAACACCAGTATTGACCTTTTGGGATTTGTATATATGTATAAAATTGTATGCATACATATATACGTGCATATATATATATACACATATATAATTGCATATGTATGTATATGTGTATATATGTATATATATATATATTGTTTGATTAACCCAACAAGAACGATTGGTGTGTATGGGTCTGGGTCACGATTTCAAACCCTGGGACCGACACACTATAGCCATCATTGACAGCGAAAGAATGCGCGCCTTTTATAGCCAACATCCATCGTCATGTTCAAGGGTCATAAAAATTGACTTGAGTTATATACTATATATATATACTGCTGTATATATATATAGTATATATACACTATATATACACTATAATATATACACTATTTATATATTGAGTTACTCATTACTCGTTGAGTTCTTCACCAACAAAGGCTAGCGGCTAGTTCATTGTGCCACGGCATCTGCAGGTCGAAGCTTCCAAAAAAAAAATCGATATGTCGTACTGTTGTAAACCCAACGGGAAATCTCTGACTGAAAAAGGTTTGTACCAACGACCTCTGGGAACAATAATAGATTATTCATAAGTATTCATATTCAAAATAGATTATTCATTTAGTAATTCCAAATCATAGACCAGCCACAAATGTGGGGCTCCGTTTCGTGCCCATCCTCCTGGGTTCCCATGCTCTTCTTCTCCGCTTTCTCGATGCGTTCCAGGCAGCTCTTGGCTTGCCCCTCCGCCTGGCGAATGTTGAGATTGAAATCGTTCCAGTCGCATCATTTGTTGAGATTCCTCATGAAAATCATCCAATTTGTGGATTACAAAGTCTCATCATTTGATGATGTTGATGATTAAAGTTAGAAAAGTTACAGTCTCATCATTAAATTTGTGGACTACATCATTTTTGTATCACAAAATCATCAAAATCATCAAATTTGTGGATTCATTAGAAGATTACAAGATCATATAAAGTACGTTCTTCCAACTTCCACAGAACTTCCAACCGTTTTTCCAACTGCGGCGCCTGGCGATCGTGTAAGCCACTGGCCTGTTTGATGGCCTGATCCGCCACCTCCTTGGCCTGGCAGCAAAAATCATCCCAGGCCTTTCGACCCACCAAAAAGGTGGGGAAAAGGTGGGGAAATTCACCGGAAAAATGGCATGTTTCTGATGTTTCACGGCAAAATCTTCCGGAAAAATGCTGGAAAATGGAGATGCTTTGTGATGTTTGATGGAGAAATCATCTGGAAAATGCGGATGCAACTTTTTGCTGATTGGAGATAGTTGAAGGGGATTGAAACAACGATATTTTGGAATCGAAGCAACAAATTCAACAAATATGGTGGATTGAAGTGACGAAACTTGAATATGTTGCTGATAGAAATGGTTGATGGGGATTTAGTCACAAAAAAAATACTGGATTTTATATGATTTTATCTCAAAATTGTATAATACAAACACAAGGGATTTGCAGATACTGAAACTCATCACTTGTAGGTAGTTCAAAACTCGTCTCGAAATGGGCAGGTGAGGTTGCCCGAGGAGAGTTGGGTGACTATCCATTTTCGAGGGAAAAGTCAAAGACGTGGCCCCAAGACATGCACAAAAATGGGGAGGTCACCAACAAGTCTTCAGCATCTTGGGGAGTTTCGAAATCTGAGGTGAAATCTGATGAATCCACAAAATGCCTGTTTTTTAAGGCACAGGGCACACCATCCACATAATGGGTCTTTCCCCAAATGCAAGACCCCATCCCTGGCACCTCATCGTAATGCTTCAAACCTGCAGCACTTGGTGCACTGATCAAAAATCACCGCAACTCTTGACACCATTTGAATATTGGTCAGTCGCAAAATGGATCAAAGTCGTGAATTCCCAAAACAGCCCAAGACTATGGTGATTTCAATACTGATATGGTCTAGTTTGGGATGATTTGAGGGCATCCCCATTGTAGGAAACGTGAATTTTTGGCCACCATCTATTTGCACGCTGAAGACAACTGAAAAACTTTGTCTGTGTCGTTGTTCTCTTCAATTCATTGAGTGCCTGATTGAAACTCATCCACTTTCAATACAGAAATCTTCCAAGAATCCTCCAACAAAATCAAAAATCGATTTCTCAGTCCACCCAGTTCCACCCATCATATAAATATTGTGTGTCTATACATGTGTATATATATATATATGACATATATATTAAATAATATACAGAGGCATTTATTCCCAATAGCTCCCTCTGGATCGCTGGTTCCAGCTCCGGATCCGTACCTGCCAGGCAATCAGCCGCCAGGACCTTGCACTGCACCATGGCACCTCGGGCAGCTGGTGAAGGCCACGGCCGGTCAGGCCGGTCAGGCCCCCTGGAGAGCTAAGTTGACTTAAATCTTGGCCAACCAAGGTTTTATGGGGGGAAAAAAAAACATAGTTTATGGGTTTATATAACCAACTTATAGCTAGGGCAGCGTTTTTGGTCTCACCATGTAGGAAAATGTGTTGTCTCAAGCAACAAAAACAAGGGATCTGACCGGAAAAATTAAGAGTTTCATCAAGATTGATAAGGAGTTTGATCAGCAACAAAAATATGGACTTTGAGGGAAAAGAAAGGAAGATATTGATCAAAAAATACTTCAATCAACAGAAATAAGTGGGAGTTAACCCACGAAAAGCGTGATAGGAAGAACATAAAAGGTGCCCCTGCTGCTTGGGAAAGGATGGCTCCAACATGCTCTGAACAAAAAATGTCCTTGCGCAGGGGGTCCATTGGGCATACTATCTATCATCATAATTGGGATGAGGGGTGACCGCTCTATGAATTCACTAACCATTGGAGCTTTGAACCTTCCATGTGCTCAACCAACAAAACCAAACCTTCTTTCCCCTAGGACAGAGTTTCATTTTTCATGAGGAGTAAATCTCTTCCAATTGAGCAAAGCTCAAAATCCTCTGTCATTCTCATTATACATATCATACTGGTTGGTTAAGAATGGGATGATGATACCACCTAGTATTCTTCCAGGAAAGATCAGGAAAGTATATTTAGAACTCCCAAACCAAACAGTGATCCACCCGCAAAGCTCAAAAGCTGGGCCCACCCAACTGCCGGATTGGATGCTTTCGAAGCACTTCTCAGCATCAACCACCACCTCAGTCCAGGGTAAAGCCCAGAAAGTCCTGGGGAAAACTCTCAAGATCTGTATCCTGGGACGGGATGGAAAAAGAAATGATGAGGTCATCAACATGCTGAATGGACTCTGATACTTCAAGATGCACAGCCCAGGCCTCTTTGTGGCTGATGACCCCGGCTATGGGGGGTTGGGTTATAGGACCTAGTCCAACTATAACTGGCGTTATACCAAGTCACACCGGCTGTGACTTAGAAGACCCTCACCATTTAACTCATCGTGGGAGCAACCAACGCGCGCGTTGGAAAATCCAATGGGCTGATTATGGCCCAGTATCACAATTCCTCCATCGCGGCGAAACACACTGAGCCATTTACAAACCATTCACCAAGTTTGCGGCATCCAGATTTGATTGACTGGAGTTAAGATCCTGATTTTGCTGGTTCGTTACCGAATTTGCTCGTTACTGTCACACCATAGATGTTAATGTTTAACATGTTAAAACATGCGTGCGGTTTAAATTCCCTCTTAATTACCAAGTTCACTTTAAACAAAAAAAAATACCCATCATTCACCAAGCATAAGCTTTACCACTTTACCCCAAGGTTTTTCTGAAATCGAAAACTCTCCAGGTTTTTTCAGGTTCAACCAGCTGGAACCAGCACCGTTCCACCTGAGCTCCCCCAACTCTCAGGGCCTCTTCCAACCTGCCGCGGAAGCCTAGGACCTGCGCGCGCCAGAACAAGGCGCCCGCACCTCGGATGTGGACGGGGATGCGGCCATCGAAGCTGGGTAGTCCATAGGGTGTATAGTCATCAAGATGAATGGATATACATATAGACATTCAATGTCATTCATCCATTGGGATATACAGGATATACATATAGACATCAAGATGTTGGACACTTTTTGACTTGTCTAAGGATGTTGCATATATGAAAAGTGGCTTTACTTCAGATGGTTATCTTCATGTCATAACTTTCATGCACATCCCATCCAAGTGAGTTCCAACCACCAACGAATCTCTCGCCAAGGGACGGAGCTGTTTGCTACCCAAATGTCGACCTCAGGATGGAAAATGGTGGCTGTGGGAAATCATGTCTGATGGTTTTTTTTGGGGGATGAATGGTTTTTTGTGGGAAATCCATCAGAAAAAACCTGGGAATGAATAGTTCTGATGGGTTTTTTTCTGATGGATTTTCGGATTACCAGAAACTTAACTTCTGATGGCTTCTCACGGTGAATTGCTGGATTTTCGGATTACCGATTTCTCCTTTCAAAAAAGCTGCAGCCAAGGAGTATGCTGGCTGCGCATTTGCAGAACAAGGTTCATCCACTGATCCTTCCAAACTCTGAAATCCACTGATTGTGTTGCTTACCGATAAAAAAATCCGGGCCCTGCCATGTCTTTCCCAACAGGTGCCCCCAACAGGCTGTGATTGCATCGTTCACGGCCCGCATGGCCTCGGGATCCATTTGGATAGTTGTTTCATGGGGATTCGATCTGCATCCTGTGGTTTGGCTGGTGAATCCCCAACAATGCACCAGCAGAATCTAATGAACCATTCCACCACCAGCCGAATCACACTGTTTTTGGAATCTTACTCATTCCACCTCTCACTGATCTCCAAAAACAATACCAAACGCAGAATGTACAATGAAAGCAGGCAGAACTAGTTCGCAGTTGTGTGAGATGTCATCTGAAGCACGAAAAGTACCCCCATACCATCCCACGGTATACATACCTACTATGGGTTATACAATCCCCAATAAACCAGCTACAAGTATATGGTATAGCCCCCTATGTTAATCCATCAACAGTGGTTTTCTTCATAGCTCATCTCTCCTTCTGCCAGATCTCTGCTGTCTCTCTTCGCCAAATAGAATTGGTCAACTCCATTTGAATCTTCAGTACCAGTTCCCATAGTATATCCATAGTATTAGCAATTATCAGTTGCTAGTTGTTAGTTTGCAGTTACCATTTATCAGCCATTATGATTGGTATTAGTTCTATTAGCAATTCGTTTAGTTATAAGTTATCACTGAAAAATAGAACTAATATCACTATCTAAACACTGAAAAAGACAAAAAAAATTGGCTCCCATAGTCCCCTTTTCCATTGGGCTCCCCGGGCCCTCTCCGCTGAGGCGCGGTAGGTGGATGAGGCCAGGGCCTGGCTGAAGTGGTTTCAACAGGAAACCAACGGGTTTTGCTGGTTTTGTGGTACCCCAACTTCTAGGAAAACCCGACAGGCATTACTAAAAATCATGTTTTTAGGGAGGAAAAAAAAACCTAAAATCAGGAAACCCCATAGTTTTCCCATTTTGCAGGTACTGAAGTGGCGGAGAAAGAAACGACTCAGCTTCTTCCTTCCCAATCCTTTCCCATTTAAAAGCAATGGGAAAGGAAAAGAAACTTGCCAAATCTTCCATCTTCACAAAGAAAAGGCTGCGCATCAAATGTTGATCAAAACGCAGAAAACCCCTTCCCATAGTCCCATACCCACTCGCAATCAAACATGGCTGGCAGATCGATGATTTTCCCAGCCGAAACCTCCATGGCTAGGCCTAGGGGATCGAGCCTCTTTGGTCTCACCTTCCGCCTCGTTGCTCATCTTTTTCAGGCACGCCTGGTGGGAGATGGCGATCTTTGGGAAAGGACGGCAAAAGCTTGTGAGGTCGTCGTCAGCCAATCATTCCGGACATGAAATAGATAAATAGACGTGGAATTTCAAGATCTTCAATTGTTTTTATTCAATTTTAGTAAATCATTTTTGTGAAACCAAAAGCCCAATACTTCATCCCCACCACCACCATTTTTATGAAATTTTAGTAAATTAAAAAGCAACACCATCACCACAATAATGATTTACTAAAACAGGGGAAACAAAAGATGTGAAGCCCAAGACTTCACCACCACCACCACCAGCCAGCGCCTGTGCCAGGTGCACGCAAGCCACCGACTCAGCCGCCTTATCGCCCACTTCCTGGAAGATCTTCTGCGCCTCGGTTTTGGTGGTTTTAAGGTGGATCCCATGCTGATTGAAACCACAAAATTCATGGGGGATCACCTCAACTGGGGAAATGCGGGACTTTCTGAGCCTAAACTTCAGCAGTTACTGGGATGATCACTGAGTCACTGGGGATGGTCCTCCTGGTGGTGAGTGAAGTTCAGCAGAAATTGGGGAAAGAAACTGACAGGAGCTGAAACAAAAAGTGTGAAGCAACCAACCAACAAAAGATCAAGTTGATAAAGTAATTTGGGACTGAATCGGTTCCCAGCAGCCCTGACACTCTTCTGAATTGGAACAGCGAAATTCATCTCCAACTCCCCACTGCCCAAATAAAGTATTAAACGAAATGTATGAAATTAGTGTAGGTGAATTTATTTAAATGGATTATCTTCAATTTGCATTTTTGGGCGGCCTCTCATAAAGTCATTTTAAAAAAGAAAACAACTTCCCAAAAAGAAAAAACTCCCCCTTACTGTTTCTTAGATTTCCCATATTGAAAACACATCCCCAACATCACACCCTCAACCCACCGATTTTCTGCCTCCAAGCCATGCTTCTCTGCTGCATCGTAATCCTGCCGACGCTGAGTGGCTTGACCCACCGGTCTCAGGCAAAAAGAAATTGGAACTGGGACAAAGAAGCTCAACCATCAAATGGTCGATCGTTCATGGGCTCAAACTTTGGGGAGCTATTCTGCAAGTGCTCACTGCTCACCCTCTCTGAGATGTCAGTTGTGAACTTGCCTGCTGTTACCCTACGAACCCCAAAAAATTGTGCGCTTATGCACGCCTCAGAAACGATGGGATACCATCCCAAAAATTACAGAAGTTGGACATTGGACATGTTCAAAAATGAGGATGGGTCAAATAAGTCAAATAGCTCGGATTCATGGATCTTGATCCATCCAAATATGCTATGTATTTGGTGAAACCACCCGAAACCACTGGGGCATCCCGCTGTGCTGCCCAAATGGATTCGCGCCTAAGTTCGGTCGCAAAAGTTTGGTGATTTCTTTGATTTTTTGATGAGATGACTGAGATGATATCCATTTCCTGAGATGTCTTAGTGATTTCTTCGTCAAATCAATGGATAGAGCCATCCCTCAGATGTTTTTGGCCACGTTCAACTGGATACCAATGGGATGAACCCTACCATCGCGGCGCCATGGCACCTAAGTGTCGCCATGGCTTGGGCTCCGTTTCAAGCTGAAAGATAGCTGAAAGTATAAACCGGAGATTCGGAACAGTTTGAAACGAACATGTTGGTTTGTCCTAAAGTGGTGGATACAGGATACCGCTTTCATGGCCGTTTTGATACACCATCGGATGGAGTTCCAGGTTTTCAGGTCACATCGGGCATCCTGGCCAGTTGCAGTACAGCATCGCCCTCTTCCTGAAAAACACGGCCCCCCCCCGGCTGATACGTCTTAGGTTTAGCCTCGTAATGTGGTCGAAATTGAGTACCCAAACAGTGGATAAGAATGCAGATTATAACATCAAATGGGGATATGATATGAATAATTGAATATGATTTGCATTGATCATTTGTACTATCATCATTTCCAGACAAGATCATGATACTCCGATGAAAAAACTTGAGAGGGGGAACACGAAAGGTAGGTAAGCAAGAAAGGAACCGAAGAAAAAATGAAGGGGAGAGGGGAGGGAAAAATACATAAAGTGGAGTCTGGTAAAAGCGACGCGGCCATTTTCTTTCCAAAAATATGAAGGGGAGTCTGGTAAAAGCGACTGAAAGGCTTCGGCGATGTGGTTGGGGTTGGTGGTGGTTGTGGTGTTGGTGGTGTTGGTGGTGTTGGTGGTGCTGGTGGTGTTGGTGTTGTTGGTGTTGTTGGTATTGGTGTTGTTGTTGTTGATGGTGGTAGTGTTTCTGGTGTTGTTAGTGTTGTTAGTGTTGTTAGTGTTGTTGGTGTGGTTGGGTTTGTTGGTGGTGTTGGTGGTGTTGGTGTTGTTGGTCGTGTTGTTGGTGTTGGTATTGTTCGTGTTCGTGTTGTTGTTGTTGTTGTTGTTGTTGCTGTTGTTGTTGCTGTTGTTGCTGCTGCTGCTGTTGATGGTGTTGGTGTTGTTGTGTGTTGTTGTGTGTTGTTGTGTGTTGTTGTGTGTTGTTGTGTGTTGTTGTGTGTTGTTGGGTGTTGTTGTGTGTTGTTGTGTGTTGTTGTGTGTTGTTGTGTGTTGTTGTGTGTTGTTGTGTGTTGTTGTGTGTTGTTGTGTGTTGTTGTGTGTGTTGTGGTGTAATGTGGTGTGTTGTTGTGTGTTGTTTGTGTTGTTGTGTGTGTTGTTGTGTGTTGTTGTGTGTTGTTGTGTGTTGTTGTGTGTTGTTGTGTGTTGTTGTGTGTTGTTGTGTGTTGTTGTGTGTTGTTGTGTGTGTTGTGGTGTGTTGTTGTGTGTTGTGGTGTGTTGTGGTGTGTTGTGGTGTGTTGTTGTGTGTTGTTGTGTGTTGTTGTGTGTTGTTGTGTGTTGTTGTGTGTTGTTGTGTGTTGTGGTGTGTTGTGGTGTGTTGTGGTGTGTTGATGTGTGTTGTGGTGTGTTGTTGTGTGTTGTTGTGTGTTGTTGTGTGTTGTTGTGTGTTGTTGTGTGTTGTGGTGTGTTGTGGTGTGTTGTGGTGTGTTGTGGTGTTGTTGTGTGTTCTTGTGTGTTGTTGTGTGTTCTTGTGTGTGTTGTGGTGTGTTGTGGTGTGTTGTTGTGTGTTGTTTGTGTTGTTGTGTGTGTTGTTGTGTGTTGTTGTGTGTTGTTGTGTGTTGTTGTGTGTTGTTGTGTGTTGTTGTTGCGTTGTTGCGTTGTTGTGTGTTGCGTGTGTTGTTGTGTGTTGTTGTGTGTTGTGGTGTGTTGTTGTGTGTTGTTGTGTGTGGGTGTTGTTGTGTGTGGTTGTGTGTGTGTTGTTGTGTGTTGTTGTGTGTTGTTGTGTGTTGTTGTGTGTTGTTGTGTGTTGTTGTGTGTTGTTGTGTGTTGTTGTGTGTTGTGTGTGTGTTGTGTGTTTTGTGTGTTGTGTGTTGTGCGTTGTGCGTTGTGCGTTGTGCGTTGTGCATTGTGCGTTGTGCGTTGTGCATTGTGCATTGTGCGTTGTGTGTTGGTGTTGTTGTTGTTGTTGTCGTCGTTGTTGTTGTTGCTGTTGCTGTTGCTGTTGGTGTTGTTGTTGTTGGTGTTGGTGTTACCCCTGCAGCGTTTTTGCTCGGTTCCGTAGTGGCCGAAAATCGTCAAATCGGTGGTGTTTTCGCGTGTTTTTGCAACTCTCGGAGCAAAAAACACCGTAAATACCGATGTTTTTGGCGGGTCGGAAGCCCAAAACCACGGTATTTACGATGTTTTTTGCCTCTGGTAGTAAAAAGCACGGTATTTACAGTGTTTTTTGGCCAGCACCTAGCAAAAACACTGGTATTTACGGAGGTTTCACCATGTAACAAAATGTGGTTTCTTGATCCGAAAAGAACAAAAATACTGTAAATTACAGTATTTTGAGTCTGCTCTTAGGGTGCGTGGGAGGTGTGGAGGGGGGGGGGAGGGGGGTACTAAAATAACTAGCAATCTCCTGAAGAATCAGGTAACGGGGCTGGCCGCCCTCCCCTTTACTTCGTAAAGTAAAACTCAAGGTAGCCCCTCTGGAGCTACCTTTCGTGATAACTGGAAGCATGGTTAGGATGTCATTCTGTGGAGCATACTATGAGCGAGAATAAGCTCCAGGAAAACAAAAAAAAACAAACCTCTGGTAGCCACATCCCAGCACTGGGAACTTCCGAACTGCCCGGAAAATGGCAATGGACAACTTATCTATGGTAACCAAAAAAATTGATCGATGATTTTAGATGTCATTAATTTGCCACTCGTTTGGAAGTGGACTGTCAAAATCTTTTCTCCATCTTGCCAAACAAAACAGGGAAGTCAATGGAAAGTCAATGGATCTCCCAGCTAAGATCACTCAGTTCCACCCGAGATTTGCACCTTGCGACAGCCAAGGCCCTGTGCAAATTCAGCTGTGGAAAGGAGATCATATCCAAATCGTGTCCATTTTCTGAAGTCACATCTGGTTATGGGTCAAAAACCCTGGTACCCGGATGCTACCCTAAGTCATAGCTGGTATAGCTGGATATTCCCCCAGTCATATGGTCATAGGGAACTTGACCCATCCCAAAGTCGCATCAGGTGAGGTCAAATCATGGCTGGTCACTGGACCAAAGCCTCTGGATACTTCAATGGGATTTAGGAATCCTACCCTTTGGTAAACTAACAGTTTGCTACGGAAAATGCCTCATTTATAGATGATTTGCCTCTTCAAAATGCTGATTTTCCACTTCGCTATCTTAAACTACCAGAGGGTAGTGGGTAAGTGGTAGAGATCCATTTTTTCTAAGCCAATTAGATACGGTAGACAACCCGGTCGGGAGACTTAAGGGTTCGCGAGATGCACATCCACTCAGCTACCCATCTACCGTCTGAGCTGGCGAAGGTTCTCATCAAAGGGCAGTGATTGTGGAAGTTGCCGTGTTTTTTTGTTGGGATCAGCACTTTCACATTGAAATACCTTTTCGTAATCTAATATAACCATGAAAAAAGTCAACTATACCATGTTTTACATTGATTTACCCATTAAAAAATTGCCATGTTCCGTAGCAAAGTCTGAAATTATCCCTTGATTGATATGTCCAGTGTATTCCCATTGTATGCCCATCATATCCCGGTTTTTCCATGGATTTTTGTTGGTGAAATATGGTAAAGTGGGTATGGGTCAATACCTATAGATACATTTTTAGTGGGATGAACATCCATAAATCCCAGCTATTTTGATGTGAACTACAGGGGTACTATTGGTTTTGATACACTGCCAAGTCCCTTATCCATCAGGGTCTCAAGAAAAACTTCCACCTCAACGGCCGCGCGGCCGCGCCTTCCAAATGGCCCGGCGATCCTTGGCGGCCGACGCCGCTTCGTCAAAGTTCTCCTTGGCCAACTGAGCCTGGAGCCGAGCATGGAGGTGTCCATCCTAACCGGGTACCCCAAATCCTTCAAAATTCAACCGTTTTTGTATTGAAACCCATCTTTTGGAGGATCCGTCTAGGAAACCACCATATAGTTGGAGATAATTTCATGGTTTAAATGTATTGGACAGGTATAGTGATTATGTGTGTGTGTGTGCGTATGCGTGTGTGTGTGTATATATATATATATCAAACAACTTTGCGTTTTGCTGAAGTATAACTATGGGGATGTTTCTATGGTATACTGGTTGTAATGTAGTTAAATCACTATATGAGGATTAAAAAACAATTTCCTTAAACAACCATTAAACACTCCTTAAATATCCTCAATATGATCTGGAACAAAAATAACCAACAATCATGGGGGTTATCGCAAGGTGATACAGTAATTATGTAGCAGTTCTAATAGTTTCAAAACTGCCGTGGACTAACTGCCAGTTATAGGTGTTTTCCAGGAGAAAAAATATATAGGTATCATTGACTCCAAATTTCAGTAGTGGGTTCCAAGCATACTAATCAGTTCCGAATTCAGATGTTTTTCGAAATGGAGCCTCCACCATGATCGAGTGATGGTGAAGGAACGAGGTGTGGAGGGTACGGAGCATGCATGTGTGTGCGCGCACATGTGTAAAATAGATTTTGCATAAATAAACTATTACAGTGCATATTTTATAAACACATATACTTTGTAAAAAATGATTTAAATATGTATGTATATATATATATGTACATATATTAGTATATTATATATTATATATATTATATACATATCACATATATATATATATATCATTTACATGTATTATATATACATACGTATATATACCAAATATATATATATATGTATACGTATATATACGTACATATACCATATATATATATATGTACGTAAATATAAGTATGTACGGATTCAACTGACAAAAATCTGTATAAGACTCTTCTCAACAAAGTGCCAAAGAAACCCTTGAAGCCTAACCCAACACGCCTCCGCGACCAACTGCAGCGCCGCGGATTGTCCTCCGATGTGCTCCTGCTCCTCGTGGCACCAATGACAGTTGAAACCCCCAGGTAGCCACGGAATTTTTGATAAACATCGATATCCGTCTATGTGGCTAAGAGTACAGATTTATATACATTTTTGTGAGTATGTTTTTTGGAAATGATCTTTCTTGTTCTGTTGACAGCAAACCCTTGTTTTACTTTGTTTTACCCTTTTCAAGCTAAGTTGAGCTCGCAAACTTCCTGCGGACGAATGTCCATGGTCACAATCATGGCAATCATAGGAGTCCGGGACATGAATTTGCGGGGCTGAAACGGCTGAAACCATGGAAGTGCACGACTCCTTTTTTTTACAGGTATGGCGGGCCATTTTTGGAAGATGAGGTGTGTACCAAGAGCTCGAGCTCGATTAGAATTTCAAAACGGAAAAAAAGGTGGTCTCAAGGTACTCTTGGAAGATGAGGTCGGCAAAAAGCGTACGAGACTGTTGCGGGAATTCAATTTCCAAAGAACTGATAGTCTCGGACCAACCCCGGATTTGTGCGCTGACGATTTCACGTCCGAAATGGCATCGCTTGATGGTGCGTCCGCGGGATGACGTCACAGCAAGCCGTGAGAGAGTCGGGCATGGCCCTCCAGCGGGTTTTACTGACGATTTAATCGCACAGCGCATGTTGCATGCGAAGCGGTGCTGCAAACCATGTGCTGCACAAAACGAAGCCGAGAAGCGTCAAATGCTGCACCTGCCACACCAAACCACCGCGCCAACCTACGATTCCAAGCACGCAGTGGCAGGAAAGGGCGAGGCCTGCCACACGAAACTGCTCGTTATAGAGATGAGCTTGACAGAGACGAGTGTTGGACAGAGATAAGTCCCAAGAGACAGCTTTGCTAGAGATTGGTTTGATTGGTTTGGGAGAGACCAATTTGATGGAGATGAGCTTGGTGGAACTAAGTGCGCCAAAAATAATAAGCTTTAGAAATCAGTTTTGCAAGAGAGATAAGTTTGCTTGATACAGTCAATTTGGTATACTTGGCATTGTATCTGACATTCTATCTGACATATCTGACATATTCAGACGTTCTTATCTATGTAAAATATTCTTCGACACAAATTCTGATATGTAAAGTCTGGCGATCTGGCATTTTAACGGTTCAGGTCCGGTGCCCAGAGAGATGGCGAACTTACAGAAATACATATGTGTATGTCCCATATTTCCCATAGAACATACATCCACTTATAGAAATACATATGTCATCCATTAAATATAGACATGTCCCATTAATTTTCATCCAATATGTTGTCTCAAAACCCACCCAACCCATAGCGTCATAGCTGGTTGATGTTGATCCTCCAGTCATATGGTAAAATTCATAGGTAATTTGACCCATGACCCATCCCTCAGAGCATCTGTGTTCCAGCCCAGTTCCTCGAAGATGTCATGGGCCTCTGCTGCCACGCTCAACATCTCCTCGGCGCCTCAACGGGATGGATTGAACCCATGAGGATTGCCAGTGGGGTGCCATAGTCATGGGGGTACCCCAATAGCTGGATGGTTTATATTATGGAAAATCTTACAATAAAATGGATTCGGAGGTAGGATAAGTGGGATACGTAGGGTTAAAATAACATAGAATTCGTTAAAAAAAAGTGGATGCTTTAGGGTACTCCCATTTTGGGAAACCTCCATTTGGGTCTGTCTAAAAATTCGGGGGTGAAGCGCAATTTATGGAAATGCCCAGGACAATCGGAAAAATCTGGGGAAGAGTTCTGACATGTTCGGACTCTTCCGGTCTTTCTCGGAAAATGCACATCATGAGGGAGGCAAACCAACTGGTTCTTTCATGAGCAGAACATGAACCAACTGGTTATGGAAATTAATATGATACTATCTGAACTACTCTACAACTGGGTCGATTCTAAGACTAGTTCCAAGCAGCCACCTGCATCAGAGCTCCTATTGGGTCTCAAGTCAAGACTCAAGGAAGGATGGGCTGATGTGTTAGTCATTTTCAGAATGAAACCATCGTCCACCATCCCTGTCTTGAGGGGGTACCCAAAGGAAGAGGATGCATGATTGAATTCGAAATTGCGAACATCTAGTTTTTATCCTGTATCATCGCACATAAGTCATCATTTCCCAGTTTTCTGAACAGTCCCCGTTTTCAGGATAAAAAGTCCAAAACAAACTTCGATATCTTGGATGTCTTGGATGTTGAACCCAAAATTCCATGGGATTTCCATATGTTGAGTTTAGAAAATGTCCACCCCGCGACGAATCTTGGGCCCTTGGGCTGGTTGGAGCTGAGTCCACGCCCAGGATGGATGCCTCGCGGCGATCCCGGTGCCAGCATGGTGGTGCCAAGTTTCGCCAAAAATATGGAGATAATATGGATGTAATATCCGCCGACCCCGGCTGCGCAAGGGGGAGCGCGTTAGGGAATAAGACAGCAGCACCCAGCCAGTAGCCAGCAGTCAATATCCGCCGACCCCGGCAGACGCAAGGGGGAGCGTGCCAGGGAATAATACTTTTGACTCTTGTTTCGGACTACTACTACTACTACTACTACTGCCATGGTGTTTTCCCATCCGGCAGGTGCCTTTTGAACAGAAGGAGTCACAGGAGCAGGAGCAGCAGCAGCAGCAGGAGGAAATAGAAGGTGTTTGACAAGACGGTTATCATCACAAAGGCAATTCTTTTTTTTCTAGGATTTCAGAAGAGACGTTAGGCACTTTTTGGGCTCGATTTTGGAGCGTTTTGGGCACGAAATTAGGTGGCGTTTCAGCGTTTCAAGTGGTGGCCATGAGCAGCAGCAGCAACAGGAGCAACAGGAGGGTTCTATGTCTCATTGCACAAACAGTGGTATAAACATTGGTCGAAAACTATAAACATTGGTATATTATTGTGATTGATTTTGCGTCATGTTCGGCACGAAATTAGGTGTCTGGCTGCTGGTTTCTTACTTTATTAGAGGCAGTAGCAGCAATCAAAATTAGAGATCAAATTGGACAAAATTAGATTTCTATTGGACAAAGTTGGATTTCTAGTAGGATTTCAGAAGGGACGTTTCGGCCCCCGAAAACCTATTCTTGTGATTGATTTTGCGTCATGTTCGGCAGGAAATTAGGTGGTGTTTTGCTGTTTCGGCTGTGTTTTAAAAAAGGTGTCTGGCTGCTGGTTTCTTGCTTTATTATAGGCAGCAGCAGCAGTCAAAATTAGAGATCAAAATTGGATAAAATTGGATTTCTAGTAGGAGTTCAGAAGGGACGTTTCGGCCCCCGAAAACCTAATATTGTGATTGATTTTCCGTCATGTTCGGCACGAAATTGGGTGGTGTTTTGCTGTTTCGGCTGTGTTTTAAAAAAGGTGTCTGGCTGCTGGTTTCTTGCTTTATTAGAGGTAGCAGCAGCAATCAAAATTAGCGATCAATCAAATTTGACTAAAATTAGATTTCTATTGGACAAAATTGGATTTCTAGTAGGATTTCAGAAGGGACGTTTCGGCCCCCGAAAACCTATTATTGTGATTGATTTTGCGTTATGTTCGGCACGAAATTAGGTGGTGTTTTGCTGTTTCGGTTGTGTTTTACAAAAGGTGTCTGGCTGCTGGTTTCTTGCTTTATTATAGGTAGCAGCAGCAGTCAAAATTAGAGATCAAAATTGGACAAAATTGGATTTCTAGTAGGATTTCAGAAGGGACGTTTCGGCCCCCGAAAACTTAATATTGTGATTGATTTTCCGTCATGTTCGGCACGAAATTGGGTGGTGTTTTGCTGTTTCGGCTGTGTTTTAAAAAAGGTGTCTGGCTGCTGGTTTCTCGCTTTATTAGAGGCAGCAGCAGCAATCAAAATTAGAGATCAAATTTGACTAAAATTAGATTTCTATTGGACAAAATTGGATTTCTAGTAGGATTTCAGAAGGGACGTTTCGGCCCCCGAAAACCTATTATTGTGATTGATTTTGCGTTATGTTCGGCACGAAATTAGGTGGTGTTTTGCTGTTTCGGCTGTGTTTTAAAAAAGGTGTCTGGCTGCTGGTTTCTTGCTTTATTATAGGTAGCAGCAGCAGTCAAAATTAGAGATCAAAATTGGACAAAATTGGATTTCTAGTAGGATTTCAGAAGGGACGTTTCGGCCCCCGAAAACTTAATATTGTGATTGATTTTCCGTCATGTTCGGCACGAAATTCGGTGGTGTTTTGCTGTTTCGGCTGTGTTTTAAAAAAGGTGTCTGGCTGCTGGTTTCTCGCTTTATTAGAGGCAGCAGCAGCAATCAAAATTAGAGATCAAATTTGATTAAAATTAGAGATTTCTATTGGACAAAATTGGATTTCTAGTAGGAGTTCAGAAGGGACGTTTCGGCCCCCGAAAACCTAATATTGTGATTGATTTTCCGTCATGTTCGGCACGAAATTGGGTGGTGTTTTGCTGTTTCGGCTGTGTTTTAAAAAAGGTGTCTGGCTGCTGGTTTCTTGCTTTATTAGAGGCAGCAGCAGCAATCAAAATTAGAGATCAATCAAATTTGACTAAAATTAGATTTCTATTGGACAAAATTGGATTTCTAGTAGGATTTCAGAAGGGACGTTTCGGCCCCCGAAAACCTATTATTGTGATTGATTTTGCGTTATGTTCGGCACGAAATTAGGTGGTGTTTTGCTGTTTCGGCTGTGTTTTACAAAAGGTGTCTGGCTGCTGGTTTCTTGCTTTATTATAGGTAGCAGCAGCAGTCAAAATTAGAGATCAAAATTGGACAAAATTGGATTCTAGTAGGATTTCAGAAGGGACGTTTCGGCCCCCGAAAACTTAATATTGTGATTGATTTTCCGTCATGTTCGGCACGAAATTGGGTGGTGTTTTGCTGTTTCGGCTGTGTTTTAAAAAAGGTGTCTGGCTGCTGGTTTCTCGCTTTATTAGAGGCAACAGCAGCAACAAACAGTGGTATAAACATTGGTCGAAAACTATAAACATTGGTATATTATTGTGATTGATTTTGCGTCATGTTCGGCACGAAATTAGGTGTCTGGCTGCTGGTTTCTTACTTTATTAGAGGCAGTAGCAGCAATCAAAATTAGAGATCAAATTGGACAAAATTAGATTTCTATTGGACAAAGTTGGATTTCTAGTAGGATTTCAGAAGGGACGTTTCGGCCCCCGAAAACCTATTCTTGTGATTGATTTTGCGTCATGTTCGGCAGGAAATTAGGTGGTGTTTTGCTGTTTCGGCTGTGTTTTAAAAAAGGTGTCTGGCTGCTGGTTTCTTGCTTTATAATAGGCAGCAGCAGCAGCAGTCAAAATTAGAGATCAAAATTGGACAAAATTGGATTTCTAGTAGGAGTTCAGAAGGGACGTTTCGGCCCCCGAAAACCTAATATTGTGATTGATTTTCCGTCATGTTCGGCACGAAATTGGGTGGTGTTTTGCTGTTTCGGCTGTGTTTTAAAAAAGGTGTCTGGCTGCTGGTTTCTTGCTTTATTAGAGGTAGCAGCAGCAATCAAAATTAGCGATCAATCAAATTTGACTAAAATTAGATTTCTATTGGACAAAATTGGATTTCTAGTAGGATTTCAGAAGGGACGTTTCGGCCCCCGAAAACCTATTATTGTGATTGATTTTGCGTTATGTTCGGCACGAAATTAGGTGGTGTTTTGCTGTTTCGGTTGTGTTTTACAAAAGGTGTCTGGCTGCTGGTTTCTTGCTTGTGATAATGCATTTGCCAAAGTTTCTCGTCACACAGCTTGCCTGTTTCACCAGCAATCCCCGATTCTTTACCGGGGTCGGCGGCAGGGGCGGCAGCCCTTAAATAAATATAGTCCATATATCTGTCTTAGGTGTATATACACATATTTATATATATATATATATGTATATAGATACATACATCTAGGAAAAGTATCCAAATTTTGGTGGCCATTGGGGAGTATTTAAGATTCTCGGAATGGGAAAAAACTCGGAGAATTCTTTTGGCTGTTCATATCACTTCTTCGTCAAAGCGCCGCACCTTATGGACCAAGGCCTTTGCTTCCCCAAGCCTGGAACGAGCGAGGTCGTTTTTTGCCTCCAAATGGATGGATTTTAGGAGGAAATGGCACCACGGTCTTCCCACAGTGATCTAGTGAATCGAGTCCAACATGTAAAAAAATGACTGGGTCCAAATCTGCAAGTCCTTCGAATTGTATTGAATTGTACAGCGCATTTTGTTGTCACACTCTCGACTTCATTTTCAAGAACTCTTCCCAATCAAGATCTGACATGTGCCTTGCTCTATTCCCAAACTCCAACATGTCCCCATAGAAACATGTCATTTGAGATGGCACAAACGGGTCACCAACTCTCCTGTACTGAGCTTTCTGATAAAGTTCTCGGGCTTTGGTAGCAGACTTCAGTCCCTGTCGGATGGGACGAAGAGGAGCAAAACAATGGGCAATTTCGGCTGGAAAAAATGAGGTTATGGGGTTTTACAGTATAGTACCCAGTTTCAGACTTGCCCATGTTCACTGGATTGCAGGGAAAATCTGGAGACCATGAAATATAGGAGTTTCCACCATTTTTCCGCAGGTCGTAATGCTTGCAAATTCAGATTTTATCCTTCATCTCCCTTTTGAATACTGGGTCTACACCCCATAGCTCTCTCATTTCTATCCAATAGTTGCCAAAACAAATAATGTCATTGCAAAATCCAGTTGTATCATGTTCTTGGTCATAATATTCTTGGTCATATTTCCCAAAAAACATCATCTATACTATCTATACCCACTTTTCTATCCCCATGGGTTGTTGCATCCCCTTTCTTTACCATCAATGGTTTCTCTTCGCCCGGAGATCGGAGTCGCAGCACCTTCAGCAGGGAGGGTCGGTCCAAGGTGCCACGGGCCAGCAGGGAGAACAACAAACACCTGCAGCTGGGGCAGTTTGGTACCTGAAAAGTGGAATGTGGCCCCCAAGTTATGACAGTTTATCATGGGGAAAAACACGTGTTTAACCCCTCAAAAATAAAAGACTGACAAAAATAAAGAAACAGACCCATATACAAGTTTGGGGTCAAACTTGTCACTTGATTACCATTTTTTCGGATCAAAAAAACAGTGTTTAGCGGAAGTCATGGCCAGTGAGGCATGTCCAGGCTCTTCAGTCAGGTCACTCAGCGTCGCCCTCCTCCTTCTTGTCCTGCAAATCCTGGCAGGACGCAGTGAAGAGATGCCAATGGCAAGTGGCAACTGGGTTTTCCCCAAAGCTGTCATCCTGCAAAACGGGACGATGATGGTGTGTCAAGGCTGCGCAAATTGTTGAAGCTGTCGTTAGAACTTGGCATGGTTATCATGGTTATGATGGATTTTTTGGATTTTAACATATTTATGTTTAACCATAACCATTGCACTATAACCATAACAAACCATAACCATTGGAACTTCAAAAAGATGTGTTATCCATGGTCATGGTTATCATGGTGTACTTCAAACTCCATTGGACCGTCCAGGGCCAGGGCGCGCGCAGCGCCGCCTCGGCCAGGGCACAGGCGTCTTCGGCCGCCTCCAAGGCGTCCTGACGGCTCTGCAGCTGGACGTTGACCTCCGCATGGAGGTACTGCAAGGTGGTCTCCAGGCGCTTGTCCTGGCGATCATTGGATAATGAACCATGGTATCAACCATTGGATGATCAACCAATTGAATTTTTCATCAACCATTTCAACCATTTCGTCATTGAAAAAAGTGAGTTTCCAATGGTTGATGAATTCATTGGTGATGGATCAGTGAAATAAAGGCTTATCTTACTTGTGCTGAACGTAGGGATTTTTAGGGAATGATCCACTGGCTAACTATCAATAATTATCCCAGCAACCCCCAGCAACCCATCCATTCCCGACGTTTAGCACCAGTAAGTTATCAATGTTTATTAATTGGTGAAATGGTTGAATAGTTTCATGGTTTCCACTGATATGGTTGATCATGGTGATGGTGACAAATGATGATTAACGGTGGTTCTTATGGTTATTAATGAAATTCTGTTGGATTCAATCATTGTACATCTCCTGTCATTAATAAGTATATATGTAATATTATATATATATGGTGGATATATTTTAATTGTACCTGCTGATATATCAGATAAAATCTACTTTTGGAAGCGACTATCGTAGTCTAGCCACTAGGCGAAGAAAATGTGTATCTATTGTACTGATACGTATGATATCTCGTATATCCAAAACACCCTTAAAAAATGTTGGAAATTCAATCCGACTAAAATTAGGATTATTTCATTACTAAACATCCAAAAGTCAAACTACTAAACTGCATCTTTCTTGGCGGTAAATCATAACATGTCTGCAAGGAAAGTCTCAAACTGACCCTCTCCGAGGAGACTTCATCACAGGCCAGGCGTACGCCGATCTCTCTGGCAATATCGATTGCCTGACACTGCTCTGAAAGCTAGGATTTTGACATGCACCTAGAAGGGCCTAGAACCATGAAAATTCCAAAACTTGAAGGTCAGACTGGTCATTTTGGATGCTTCCCATCACTTATTCTGACTTCAGCTCAAAAGAAGTCGCCCAGATAGATGGTACGTAAGTTACATTTGCAACAAAATCTATAGCAGCATCTCACCTGCATGTCTCGAGTCCGATTCCACCAGTTTTTCAAAACCCTTCGAAGATGAGATGACTCACCGACCCTACCGGGTCAAAACTATGAAACACTCCAGGGGGTCAGCGTTCATATAAACCTTGTATCAAGAGATGTATACTTAACATAGCAACCCCGAAATAGATAAGACATGGTAAGACAATTTTGGGGGACAACCAAAAAAACACAAATTCTCTATCCATCAAATCTGGCAATCAAACATCCAATGTTTCGTTGCAAAGCCATCTATATAAATCTGAGGAAATGAAGGACTCATTGCTCGATAAACATCTTAACTAACCACATACAAACAGTTAAATTATCTTAAATTGCTGAATCAACATACACAAAGACTATCTACATCTCATAACCACTGGCATATATCCATTAAATATCCATTTCTGTTGCTTAAATCATCGCCTCATCAGTGGCTGTGAGGGCCAGCTCGGGATGATCCCGCTTCAGCTGCGCAGTGGCCACCACCACCAGCCTCGGCGGATGCGAATTTTGTCACCCTGAAGATGTAGGGATACCAAAAATCTGACAAATCTCAGGAATTTATGGGATTTTAGGTATCAATGGGGTATCCCTAAATCATAGAGTTTAGTTAGATTATCCTAAAATCTTAGAAAATTATGGGATTTTAGGATGATCAACGCTAAAATATGGCGTTTCCATTGCTGGGACGAGGAAAGTCATCTGAATTTTAGGGCCTCGAATCACCCTGACAGCTGATGCCACGCGGGGACTGCAGAAACAAAATATGAAGAGTTCAGCACTAGACCCAAAATGAATAGTTGAAGACTCACTCAACTCAAAATGGATACGTATCTGGTTATGACTAACAGTTCGCCATGGAAAGATCCACCATGCTATTAAGAACGGTAAACTATCTATATTTCTATGGGCCATGGCTTCCATGGCTATGTTAAATAACCAGAGGGTAGTTAAAAACAAACAAAATAAAAAATCACCAGCCTATTTTTGTGTCCAAATAGGTACCGAAAGCAAAGAACTTGACAAATACCGGGCCCAGCAGGCTGAGCTGGACCCACCCATAGACGTGGGCACGATCACTGACCTGTGGCGAAGGTGACTAAGGGAGGAACAACCCGAAGATGGGGATGTTTGATGTCAACCAAACATGATGTATATACAAGGGCCCAAAAAAGATAGAAATGCAATGCATTGCTACATTTAGTAGGATTTACTTTTCTATCTTTTTGGGAGGTGCTATAGGGACAGATGAAGAAAAACCAAATACCGGGCTGTAAACTAACAAAACCTCTGCGTTCGCCAAGAAATTGTAGATCGACCAGAACAACTGAAGGATATTGCCAGAGAATAAGTACGGATACACCAACTGATGAGCCACAGGCTAGCCTGCCCTGAAATGTCCCCCAGAGACTGCAAGCAAATAACATCATATTTCCACATCAAGCCAGCAAAAGCACCCATCCACCTCCATCCCCAACTCTTATAAAATGAACCCCACTTTTGTTTGTTGGTTGAGTGTCACCAATTTTCATCCATTTAACTATAGAGATTATATGTATATACAGTATATCCGCCAGAAATAGAACAGTTAGCCATAGTTATCCAACAGTTCACAGGCATTGGTCAAAACACCTGAAGAAGTATCTGTTGGAAATTCTAATTAATTCTATCCCCTTTATTATTGATGTTAAAAATTGGGACATTTACCAATCCCTGGTCAACCATAGTTCTCCATCAGCAAGTAGTTTGCCATCACCACGTCGGGCACCTTCTTGAGCCGATTCAGACATTCCTCCGCTGCCTTCAAGCCGCGTCGGACCTTCTTCACCTTAGGCACTGGAAAAATACCAAGGATGAAGCAACATCATCCAGTTTCACACCAGATTACCCCGGTTCATTGGGAAAGAATAATAGATATTCATATGATTCATATCCATTCATATCCATTATCCATGAGTTCATCCAGTTTCATTATCCCGGCCCTATGAATTTTCCTGGAAAAAATCCACCCATTCCTCGGACATCTCGGACTTTCACGAGGAAACCGAGGTTCCCCACTCCTGCCAGCGCCTCTACCAGCAACAGGCATGACCGCGCCTGGACAAACAACGTGTTTTGTTTTT